GTGTAAAAAGGGTGAGCGGACAGAAGAATTTATGCTTATGTCATGGAGTTTACAAATTTGCACAACGCTTACTCGTAAAAAAAACGTAGCTGCCTACTCTACATTTTTAATGGCTGCCATTGCCATTGCCATTTCATGGCCACGAGACAAGACTCTGGCAGTGGCAGAAAAAGGCTGACAGTCAGTCCACCCGTTATGCGATACCCACTCGTATGCACACACACACAGAAATACGCAATTATTCTGTGTACCCACGAACAAGAAAAGAAATTGCCAAAACTATGCTTTCAGTGTCCAGACCCTACTCTGTACCCAACCTCATCACACTCACCCAACTCATTCAACTCATCCAACTCACATGTGTAAGCGCACACAAAGGACACGTTTCGGGCTGAGTTGTTGAGTCCATTTGCAAATATTTTGGTCATGCTGCGACTGCGACCCGCTGAAAGCGGGTTAAAGCCAGCCCGAACCAGTGAAAGTATTTTCTGTATATAATATGTATAGTACTTATACATTCAACTGCCATTGCCGTTTGCCTTTTATGTTCACCAGTTTGGGCAGAGTCACAGCCACCAAATATACCAGGCTCAGCCTTTGGGCTCTATGTCTCTCGTATCTCTGTGTAGTTGTGCGTAAAAGCCTTATAAATAAGTTATACACGTGGTAGGTGGGCATTGGCATCGTCGGCAGCCAGACGCCAGCAAGGACAACGCACCGAATGCGCAGCAGCTACTGCACCGAATGAGTAGAGTAGACGGTGTAGGTACTATTGTAGAGCTGCTGGCCTACATTTACTTTTAAACTAAATATACGTTCGGCTTTATGAAGTATAATATACAAAAGCCCCATTGAAGTATTTATGTGAGAGGGCTGCGTTGCAAGACTCTTTTTCTTTTAATGTACGAATCGAACTGCTTCATTTGCATGCATTAATTGCTTAATACATACTTAAATAATAAAATGAAATCCTTTTAAAAAACTTTATACTTTTAGTATTTACAACTTTTTGAGTCTTCATACAAAAATTTGGATATAGTAGTTTAATGTACTACTTAGTTTATTACGGTATATTTTCCAAAAAGTTTGCTTTATTTTAAGCAAATCGGTAGATTCCGCTTAATAACAGACTTAGTCAAAAGTACCTTATGCTATTATATAAACATTACATACTGCGCACAATACTGAACTTTGTTAAAAATACCCCTTTGTTATTAAATAAACTGTAGACTGCAAACATATGTATATATGATATTCAATACATATTGTATACATTTTGTGGGAATACACAGATAAAATATTGTCAGTTTAAATGAAATAAATTACGCCTGTTGGATAAGCGTGAGTTTTTATGATAAAATTACCTACAAAAAATGTTTAAACATACCTTTACGCTTTGCTATTAACGATTAAGAAAGCCCTAAATAATTCAAATTGTTTTGATCTCTTCACAGTTTGACGTCACAATTTCAGAGTTTGAGATACCCGTTTCAGATACAATTTCTCAATTAGCTGGATCATATCTCTTTATTATTTTATAATGGAAGTGTTCTTTGGGGCACCACTAGATCTCTTAATTGAGTTCTTTGGCCGTGTCAACTGTATTCCGGTACTTTTTCTTATAGATAATTGATACTTCAACATATTGAATAACTGCTTCCCTTTGCAATATAAGAGCTGATACAAATATTCGAAGCTCTGGTGTATGATAAAAATATAATATGAATATAAATGAAGTGGACAACATTTACTAAGTGACAACTCTTATGACGTAATTCTCACGAATAGACGCACTAGAAGGTACTCAGATTGCTCTGCCAGCGATTGCGATTCGAGTGCGCAATTAGCAATCCTTGCCAAAAGCCATCATATCGATTTGTAATTAAGCCCAGCACCGCTTAAAACTTGTAAAAATAGTATAGAAATATTTCTTGCCCGAGTGGGGTGCGGTTCAGTACGGTGTGATGGGATGCGCAGCGGTGGCTCTTTATGCAATTGGATTTAATGACGCGCGAACTATTAAGCGCATTAAAAGCATTAAAATCGTTTTTTGTCTGCACCCTTCAGCCGCAATCTTTAAAGTGCGCGGCAGCAAAGCAGGGCAAACAAAAAAAACCCGGACATGCAGCCAACATTTATTGGCTTTGACAGAAGCCATTAAAAATTTAACGCTAAAAGTAAACGCGACTGTAGCTGACACACGTGTGATGAAAAATTAACGCTAAATGAAATTCAATTTTCACAACTACTTAAATATAAAGCTTTTAGCTAGGCTTTCTTTCTCTCTTTTTTTGTTACTTACAACAACAGCCGCTTAATTAAATTGAATGCACTGGCAACGTGGCGTATGCGTAATTGAACTAGGCAAAAAAAGGAATATATAGAGATATACTTAAAACCAGAGCGAGCAAAAAAATTAAATTAAATTTAAAACACATCAGGCGCGCATTAGACACAATCCAGAGCCAGACTGTGCATAAGGATGTGGATACGGATGCGGATGCGGATAGGGGCGACCAGGACGAGACGCAGCTGCGAGCCACGAAATTAACTTGCGAGCCATTACAAAGGCAAACAGGAGTTGAAAATGAAATAAAACAAAAAGAGCGACGTGTACACACACTAACACACTTACACACACACACACAAATACCTACACGCAACACACAAAGCTTGACATATGACATTTAATTTACTGTCTTCGGTATGTTGCCTTTGCTTGGCGCACTGCCAAGAGCGTTTGCTCACATTCATTAATTTTCATTTTCGTACAACAACAAAAAAATAGAAGAGAAGGGCCAGCTCCGGCATGCCGAAGATTTAATACCCTTGTATACATATGCTTACCGTTTGGCAGATATGTGAGAGAAATTGTGAAGCTGGTTGCTGACTTCGGCGAATATACCTTGAATAACATAAATATTATCCAAAGAAAAACACATTTTCGATCGATTTGTACTAAAGAACTATATGTTGTAGTCCAAGGTTGGTCTGATTTTTCACGTGTAAGGGGTAAAACTAATTAATTCTTAACAACAAAAATTTTTTGATACAAGAGCCCGATTTTCTACGATCATTCTTATACATCTTAAGACATATTTGGGCGGTATTTCGGATCATATATATATATATATACGTTAGTTATGCGTTCACACATTTCATGACAATATATAAATCTCCTCTGCGAGAGTATAAAAAGGAAGTATAAACGGGCAGACTATGAAACTTTAATACACGATCGCGACCAATTACACTTTTCTTTTTAATAAATAACTAATTAAATATGTAGGATAGTAGCGACTGAAACCTCTTTTAAATGCAATTTTTTATTATTAATTTTTTTAACAAAAGATTACTGTTAAAGACTTTTAACAAAATATAAAAATAACAGTAACTGCTTTGAAATAATAATGTATGAAAAGTAGAACGATATTTAAAAAATAAAAATAAAAAATGTATTTAAGTAATTTCCTTTAATCAATGTAATTAAATAAAATCAATGCGCAATATTAAGTTATCTTGATGAACAATTTACGTAGACTTCTTGCTTTCGAAGGATGGATGCTGCAATTTGCAAAGGAAACGTTAATCTATTAGAATCTATAATCCTAATTTTAGAACGTTTTCTAAAATGGCAAGCTGTACGTAAGACCCATATTTCCTTTTGCAACCAAACGAGCGTCCTGCAAACACTTAGGAGAATGAGTTGAACAGTAGTTTTTGCTTTTGGGCGCTGCTGGCGCCGTTATCGTCATTACAAACATTATGTTTCGGGACTACTCAACTAATGCTCACACTCACACTCACACAAGCATAGAAGCATACGCTCACACAAACAATCATGCTCACACGTATTGTGAGTGGAGTGCAGACCGTTGCTAATAAAATATTTTATGCGGGGCTTATCTGCCATATCAAAGTATGAACCTTTGCAGCTGTGACAGGGAACAAAAAAAGCAACGCACACATCGCATTATTAACAGTCCCCACGAAAAATAGCAGCAACATCAACAAACGGACAATGTCAAAAATAAAAAGTCAAAAAAGCACATACACACACACATTCACTCAGAAATTGTAATGTTAGAGTTTATGACTGAAAGCAACAGTCCAAAAGGGGCTGACATCATATACTAAAGCGCGGAAACGTGGGGGGCAATGGCCACACGTCGCGTCCATGAGCACTTTTCTTGTCCCTCTTCACCGCCTTCTCTTCCTTCTCATCCATCGCCGACATACCATATCCGCCGTCTGTCTACAGCTGGTCTCAACTGCTTTCCGGTTCTCTGTGTTGTCGTGGTCGTAGCTAATTCGGGCTCACTTTTTGGTCAAGTGCAGTTTTTTGGGCAGGGAGCAAACATTTTTATGTCCCGATAATAGAACAACATGCGGTTTGCCTTATATACACATACACAAAAATGCACACTTATATGTATGCACATACACGAAAAAAGTTTTGTAACTTTTTTTGGTAGACTGGAAAGCGAGGGTCAAGCTCGCTTTTTTTGTCGACCTGCAGCTTTTTAACAGATGTAAAGGGCATTTAAAAAAAAAAAATTTTTTATTTTGAATTTCCGTTAACGTCAGTTTATAGTTTCCACTACGTTTCACAATTAAAGCGAGTAATTATAAGCTTTAAAATATGATAAATTTTAAGTCATATATGCTTAACGAACTTGCTAATTCTAATTGACTTTGTGGAGAATTTCTTTTATATTTTTAATTACATAAAGACTTTTAAAACCACAAAGGCTGTGATAAAAATATATATACTCTATGGGTATAACATTCATACCCATTTTTAATGCGTATAGACTGTTATTGTAGAGATTAAACGGAATGGAAATCATCTCATAAAATATTTGATGTGCAGTCTTCGTTATCTTATTAATTTACCCAATCTGTGTGTATCATTAGCTTAAGATTCGATCATATCTTAGCTACTTTGAAATTTTCAACCCTTTTATATCATTATGGGTTTTGTTCTAGTTCCTATATTAGCACAATAAGCATGCCCATTAAACTGTGTCAGTCTGCTTGAATATTTTCTAAAAAAGATATGCCAAGTTGGGTTGTATTTCCAATATTACTCATTGGCTTGGTATTCGGCAGTAAGTTAAGAAATGGCATAACAAATTACATAAAGTATACAATTTAATGTCCTGTAGACAAAGACGATTCTCATTGTATGAATTGCTCTTTAGCCGAGTGTGTAATTAATGCGACTGGATACAACTCTGATGCGGAAGGCGGGGCGAATGTTATAAATGTTACAAAAACTGATAATATCTCAAATAAGTTCTCTGAATGCGTGCCCAATGAATACAGCATAAATGGTATTTATATAAGTGCCGACAACAAAATTCTGAAAATTTCCTGATTTTATATTTAGGTTCTTTAATGAATTACGTTTGTTTTTGGTCACCAAAATTGGGATGCCAACCATTTGTCGCTATCAAACTCTTGGAACTACCCTACATAAAAGAGGGGATTTGCACACAATGCTTTCTTGTATGTCCTTGCACTTGGGTACATTCGACATCCATGAGTATCGATGGCCATTTCAGACTGATATTAATGGGCTTTGCTGCGATCGGGACTTTTTATATAAAGTCTGGCCTTTTTTCTAATAGTTATCAAATAAAATGGTGCATAGTTTAATATGAGAACATATTGAATATTAATATTCTAATGCTATTTTTATATATTTTTCTTTGCAGGTGAGTTACGTTTTCCGCCTTTAAATGCACATCACCAAATTATATAACATTGGAGGTTTGTTTAACATATATTCTTTTATGTTTAAATATATATGTAAGTTTGTACCTAAAGAAAAAAAATACATACACCCACACGATTATTGTATTGCCATCTAGTAAGAGGGCAACTGCATAAGCATCTCACTAAAATGACAAAAGAAGTGAGAGCAGGTTAGAGTACGAGCAGGAGAAAGGAATCGAAGTTTCGGAGTTTAAGATAGAGAAAGATAAAGTGCAAGAGGGTATATTGGCGTGATATTAGGAATAGAGAATAGAGAAGTTTATGTTTTGTGCAAATCTATGTAAAAGTACAGAAGGAAGAATCTCCGCCTCCAGAAAAGATATAGGTTGTTGGTCAGCATCAATAACCGAGTCGTCCATCCGTCCGATTGTCACGAATAATTTGTCTCGTTTCCAAGCAATCGAAATATTTTTTTTTATATCTCTTAGATTTTAAGAGTAAGTGTCACCAAATTACACATGCAGCTTCTCGTAAAGAATATACAGATTAAATCTTGAGCAAGCGAACGCGTAGCGCTTGTTCGGGTTTTGGTAAAAGAAATTTCAAGGTATTGCTAGTCGGGCACATCCGGTTAGAGCTTTCCTAAAAGTTTTTTCGTGAGTACAGCGGGAAATAATGCATATGCCAGAATGCTTATGGCAGTATATAAAGATGTATTTATGCACAATACATAAATTTCAAGTCATTGAAACGGACGTGGATAAATAAATTAATTGGGCTGTCTGTGGATCACCAATCGGCCAGTCAGTCGCCAGGACCGCCAGGTCTGCATATCACAAAGATGAAAGAAAATAAAAAAAACTAAAACGTGAAAGTAAGGATATCATCAGCACGCCGAAAATGTAATACCCACGCAGACATTTCCCTTCTGCAAATATGCAAGATTAGTGCGAAATTGCTGAGTTAATTGAAATATCTTTGAAAACGAAATATTTTTCTTAAGAAGATCCTACTATTACACCGATTCTTCTTTCCTATTGCAGCTATATAATATAGTGGGTCTCCATGCATCAATTTAATTTTCAAAATAGTTTTTCGATGTTGATAGGATTTTGCATATATATGATGAGCAAAACTAATAAATGCCCAGATTGCTTAAGATATCTTGATAAACAAAATAAGAACCTACTTTCGACAGATTTTTTCCATGGCAGCTTTATGATATATTGGTCCGATCCAGCCAGTTCCGACATATGTACTGCGTGCAACAGAAAGAGGGACGTATGCAAAGTTTCTAGCTCGAATAGAAACAGAAAGACGGACAGACGGGCATGGCTATATCGACTCGGCTGTTGACACTGAACTAGAATATATATACTTTATGAGGTCGGAGATGACTATGCGTTACACATTTCGAGACAACGAAAAACGCACAAAAATCTAGCAAAGCGCAGTGGAGATAGCGAACACATTTCTCGCAAAGATAAATACAAAGCTAAGACGGTGTATTATTCTCATATTTTGCATAAACTCTTTATAGAACTGAGCTTCGTTATTACATAGTTAGGACAAAATGCTTACAATTGTGTAAGGTATTCTCAAATAAACTTTTTAAATGGAAAATATAAGCAACAGCTCTCATTACTTGGCTTACTTACCTACCGATGCTTCACTTACTCCTTGGCTTATTTAAATACTAACTTTTTGCCAGAAACAATGTTGACTTAGCCCATATTGTACTGATGCCTACAAGTGTAGCCTATAGGTACATATCGACTGATTAATGCCCCGCCGAGCAGACAAGCAGCCAGTCAGCAGGCGTCGACGGAAATGTGCAATGCATAAATTTCCAGTAGGACAGGCAACAAATACTTTTGCACCCTTTCCGCCCCTTCTTGCCAATTTGTTGGTATTTATTTATATTGCTAGAAAAATATTTATACCCCTTACATTGTGACAGTCGACACACCTGCTGAAGCTGGGTCTGAAAATGAGGGTGGGAAGGCCCAGTCAAGCGGCAGATAAACAATCTCAGCAGAAACTGCTGCAGTTGCTGTGTCATACTATAAAGCCAGAGTGCTATTTTATCCATCAATTTTATGCGCTACTCAATCTTTTTGTGCTGCTACAAAATGGCAATTGCATTTCCTGCACCCATGCACTGCCTCGAGCCAGATACAGACACATTGTAACTGCAATATAGACACATCAAGTAATTGAATGCATTTGCGTTACGCGCATTAGGGTTATTTTAAGTGCAGTTTGGGTAAGGGGCACTGAAGGGGAGCAGCCCAGACGACAATGGGTTGCCGAGGATGTGCTTTGATTTTGCTTTCGAGCTAGCTCAATGCTATTAATGCAAGTAAACGCAAGTAAACTATTATCGTCTCGTCGTCGTCTTCATTATTGTCTTTCATGTAGACAATAGTTACTGGATGTGTTCTTCAAATTCCTTTCGCCCCAATTCCACACTTAAAATAATAGCTGTAAAAAGCCATTGGAAGTAAATCAGCATTGACTAGTTTAATATGTTTCTTACGAAATTTTCTGGTATAATCGTGTGTCATTTTTTTTATTTAATAAACGTATTTATAATTTTAGTGATTTAGAAATTTCAGTTATTAAAAATATTATTATTATCATTATTATTATTATTATTATTATTATTATTATTATTATTATTATTATTATTATTATTATTATTATTATTATAATTATTATTATTATTATTATTATTATTATTATTATTATTATTATTATTATTATTATTACTATTTTTATTATTATTATTATTATTATTATAATTATTATTATTATTATTATTATTATTATTATTATTATTATTATTATTATTATTATTATTATTATTATTATTATTATTATTATTATTATTATTATTATTATTATTATTATTATTATTATTATTATTATTATTATTATTATTATTATTATTACTATTTTTATTGGTTATATTGCTATTTTCTCAATAATATAAATTATTTAATGAAAGACCAAAAAAATAGTTTTAAGCTTGTGAATTTCAATAAATGTGAAATTGAATCCCAGAACAGACTGTACCAGACTCTCTCATCCTGTATTCAATCTGTACATATGTACATGTATGTAGATACTTAAAGGATGTCTGTGCGAATGTATATAGGAATGAATCTCTGTCTATATGTCTGACTCTAACATTGTCTATTTGCTCAAGTGCTTTGACGCTCCGCCGACGACGAGTCTTGTGTCAATAGTTGGCACACATTGCAGGCATTTCATTTAGCCCCTTCCCACCTGCCCTTTCCCACATCGGCTCACTGTCTGCATCTCACTCGATCTCAGTCCGTTCAATTCATGGCGTCGCCTCGTTGGATGCTTTGCATATATAAAATGGAAATTTAAATTGAAAATTGCAATGCCAACTGCGACTGCGACGGCAACTGCGATGCGACTGCAGTTGAGCTGATTGACAATGCATGAGATTTGCATTTAATAATCGAACTGTGCGCCCCTGCTGCTTCTTAGCTATTAAATCTGGCAAATAATACTCAAAAATCTATTTGAAAGTACGACAATTGCTCAGCCCAGCCCGGGCAACCATTTGCTAAGCTCGAACAAATCCATTTATTAAAGTTACACAATAAATTATTTTTATGCCCATTGCTGAGTATCCGCCTCATGCTAGTTGGATTGCGTTTCAGTTCTGCGGATATTTGCGTAATCGATTTTGTTGATGCCGTTATTGAATTGTGGTTGCACATGCAGCTCTTCCAGTTTGTAGAAGTGAGATGCATACAAATGTGAGTACGAGTGTGAGTGTGTGTATTTAGTACGATTTTCTATCTGTTTGTTTACAATTTGGCCTACGCACAGTGGGCTGGACAAGTTATTCTAGTGGTAATAAAGTTTTTCAAGTGTTTCCCCAGCACAAATATCAAATATATACATAAGGTAATCAATTACTAGAAAATTAAAAACGTTTGTTATTTTTTTAGGTCTTTTCAAATTTGTAAATATAAAAGCGATGCGATAAACAAATGCAATCCAATTCACATTCAAGTGCCTGCAGCTTATAATATTTGAGTTTTAGCTCTTGCATCTTTCGTGCTCAGGGCGATGCACATGAAGATGCCATGTGTATGGATACGAATATTTGAATAATTCATGAATGCCAATGCATAAGTCACTGGCCATGAGGCAACAGCAGTTGCGGGCATTTGGTGACATCTGATTCCCAAGCAAACTATGGTATGTGATTCCATAGGATCTCAATCAGTAACACGCAACAGCAATAAATAACTCGCAAATACAATGAGATTAACAGACGAGTGAGTCCAACTTTTCCCTCGATTGGCGCAGATAATATAGAAAATATACTTTCATATCTCACAATTAAATGAAAACAATTTTAAATCTATAAAATATATATTTTTTCAAAAGCAGCTGACCAAATGTTATTTTATAAATCATAGAAAACAAATACTTATGAATGAAATTGATTCCCATTCTGTATTGATCTCAAAAATATTCTGAGAACAGACATAACATATGACGTCTTTAGCTCTTAAATTTTAAAAATTTGGATAGGAATAAAATATTATTTCATCTTTAAGAAGACGCGTATGAATTATGACCAATTATATTATAAAAATTGAAAGTTCATCGGACTTACTCTAGATTTCAATATTTATCAAACTTATCGGAATCGAAGTGAATTGTTGTTCTTTATTTCGGTTCTGATTAAATCCACTTGTTTTCAAAAGTTTTGCCTTTGAATTGTCGGAATTAAAGTAATTGCCAATACGTTTGTTATTAGCAAGATAATTTTTATTTTATTATTTATTATATTTGGAAGCTATTACAGTTTTATTATTAACATTTTCATTAAAAATTTGCTTGGACTGACAGAACAAATCATACACACCAAAACGAAAACATGTTGAAATGTATCCGAATTCACTTCTCAAACCGAATCGAAATCTATAACAGGCTCACAAAGCTCTCAAAGTATTTCGGATCAACGTGCTACCATCAACAGAAAGATATATCTATTCAGCTCTTC